CCCCCCCCCCATTTTTTTGCACTTTCTGAGGGGCGCTTATAATATTCAAACGGGGCGCTTATTTAAACGGGGTGCTTATGAAAACAGAGTGGAAATTCAGGATCATTGTATTTTTTCTTGAAAACTCAAATGAGTATGTGCTAAAGGTCGGAAAAAGAAAAAGAGAAGTAGGACTAGGTATAGACAAATATGTAAAAAGAGTAAAGTTGGAAATATACTGCCTGTCCAGGGATCGGAGTTCTCATCTATCCTCATTTTGATATTGACCTAAGAAGAATGTGTTTCCACTCTGCAGCTCAAATCATGCCAACAACCACAGTCCCAGGATTGATTGGATTATTGACTTGTTAAAAAGAAAATCTTATGAATTATTCGCTTATTCAAATTAGAAGAGGCGCTTATTCAAACGGGGCGCTTAAGAAATTTTCATGTTAGGAAGGGCGCTTATTCAAACGGGGCGCTTATTCGCGCGAGTAAGGGCTCTTTAGTTGCTGAAAGTGGTGGTGCACCTTGAAGTTGTAGCACTGCTAGTATGGCTCTGTTTTGGAAGCACAACTTATCTTCCCCGATGAGGGTATGTAGCCACCCTCCCCCTAAGGTCTCCGTTGACGCCACCACAGAAAGAGGGCTTCATCTGATACACATCAAGGAAAACATTTCTCGCTCTGCTAGTAAACTACTCCAAGTAAAATTCTTTTTGTTCAATTTTTTTTATGAAACCCTAGCCCTTGGATATTGTTGCACAGACGCTCAGGCCGTACAAAACCATCTGCGCGACAACATTGTGTTTGTGAGACAGGTGCCTGTTTCTGGCTCCCTTATGATTGGTCAGTTGTTTAGTCTCAGGCCCGTAGGCGGCGGGGGGGGGGGTGCAGAGGGTGCGAACGCACCCCCCCAAAATTTCAAAAGGTCCGCTTTTTAAAACCTATGATTTCACAAATCGTTTCTAATTATCACAAAATGCTATAGCATGCATTGCATTATTTGCCTATCTAACCGTTGACTTTTAATAATGTGGTATGAAATTTGTTAGAAATTGATCGTCTCCGGTGATTGCAGATTGATCTATATAATATGAAGAATATTATCTATAAAAGGCCTGCAGATGTACAGGACATAATAACGTTACTTTTTCAGGTCCCAAAAACACCCAAATTAATGGAAATTTAAATGAAATATTCATGTGTTTGAGAAAGCTATTAGGCTTATGTAAGATCCTCAAAATGCTACTTTGTCGCTTTTCTCACAAACGCCCTCCAGGCCTCTTCCCCTGGACCACCAAATTTCATAAAGTTCACTTTTTAAAACCTATTATTTCACTAAATTCGTTCCTAATTATCGCGAAATGCTATAGTATGCAGTACATTTTTCCCGCTCTTCTACCCTTTGATTTTTAATAATGTGCTACGAAATCTGTTGGAAATTATCAGCTCCAGTGATTGTAGGCCTACAGATGTAGGCCTAAAGGACATGAAAAATTATAATTTCACAGTGGTGGATTCAAGGGTGGGGGAAAGAGCCCCCTAAAATTATAAACGAAATGGAGAAAAAAGAAAAATCATAATTAAAGGTTGTCTGAGAGTGCCATTTATGGCCACTTTCTCGGAGGTGCCATAATCATAAATGTTCTTACCTCAGCCCCAACCTGGTGGGGCTGAGGAGGTATTGACCATCTGTCTGTGCAAGTTTCTCCCTTCACCTCACCCTCTATTTCTCCTGCTTTACTGTAGGTCCCTAGACAATACTCAAATGAATGAAAATTTAAATAGGATATTACAAATTAAAAAAGGCCCTCAAAATGCTAATTAAGTCAGAGCTTTCAGAAGATTCGCCCCAACATCGCGGGGATCCCTAGATAGGCAGTCGACCATCGTAAGGTCCACTTCGGTTGCAAAACGTACCTCCCCATCGAAAATCCTGCCTACGAGCTGAGAATGTTTGATCCAATAATTGTTGTAATAATATGAAGCGCAGACCTCAGTATCAGGGGCGGATTTGGGGGTAGCCTTGGGTTCCCTTTTAGAAAGAAAAAAAAAAGAGGCTATTTTTCGGCGTCTGGAACACCAAATTTTCGTAGGAGCATTCCCCCAGACCCGTATGGTAGTGTTATCTCGATCAGCCTCCTTTCGGGCTCCCCTTTTAGACTTCTCTGGAAACCTCCCTGAGTATGATCTGGTATAATAAACAGTAAACGGTGTCATCATCATCATTAATTTATTATTGTTATTATTAGCCCATTATCCAGGGGGCCTATCTTTTTACTTGTGTTAAATGCGTCAATGCATCGGAATCAATATTCAACTGTAATGCAATTCAAATGAACTGTTGAAATAAAATTCTTTTGAAAATAATATTTTATTATTTCAAATATATTTATTGAAATATATTTAGTGAATAAAATCTCTTCATAAAAATTACTTTAGACATTACAATCAATTTGTTTTTTTAATGTCAACACAGCTTCAACAAAATGTATCACAATTGTACACTTCCAACTTCGATTTGCACTTTTCTATTTCTATGCTACAATAGGTGTTAAACCTACAGTTCTATAAGAACATTTTAGACTGCAGCCAATACTGCACACAAGACCTACGCCATAAATGTCTCATCCGAAAAATGTGCTATTGCATTTCCACCCCTCCCCCTGGGCACAAGGATAGCTGCAATAGAACTGAACCTGAAACAAAAGGTCTGGACTGATCTCCATGCTACAGCATATATGCATGGCTGTACCAACAGTTTAGCAAACTTAACTCTCTTAATATTTTTTTACATAATAATAAGCACATATACAGTGTTCAATTGAAATTCACAACACAACATTTAAATATTACCAGTAAATTTGTCGCTTTCACACAACTAAATACTAACCTTACTACAAGTCAGTAGAGTATATTCAGACAGAGAAGATGTGTACTAAAAAATAGTGAAAAATAAGCCCCCCGCCCTTCATCTCCATTACCATTAGCACAAATCCTTGCTAAAACTTCTTGAGTTCTCTCTTTCTTTGGTATCCTTCCAATGATATACATTCTTACATCAAAAAATATCATTGCTAAATTTAAAAAATTGTT